TTTTGGGATATTTTGGGCCCTCCCCCTCGTGTCCCCCCAGATCCCCCCGGGACCCCCGAGCCCCCGGAGCGGAACCTGAGCGCGGAGGGAAACGCCTCGGCAGGTGAGGCCACGCCCACTGGCCACGCCCACTGACCACACCCACTGACCGCACCCACTGACCACGCCCACTGCCACACCCGGCCACGCCCACTGAGCACTCCTGGCCAGACCTATGGCCACACCTGGCCACGCCCACTGACCACACCCACTGACCACGCCCAATGACCACTCCCACTGGCCACACCCGTTGACCACGCCCACTGCCACACCCGGCCACGCCCACTGAGCACTCCTGGCCAGACCTATGGCCACACCTGGCCACGCCCACTGGTCACGCCCACTGACCACGCCCAGTGACCACACCCATTGACCACGCCCACTGAGCACACCTGGCCACGCCTAATGGCCACACCCGGCCATGCGTAATGGCCACGCCCACTGCCACACCTGGCCACGCCCACTGACCACGCCCACTGACAACACCCAGTGACCACGCCCAATGACTACACCCAATGACCACGCCCAATGACCACTCCCACCGGCCACACCCGTTGACCACGCCCATTGCCACACCTGGCCACGCCCACTGACCACGCCCATTGACCACGCCCACTGAGCACACCTGGCCACGCCTAATGGCCACACCCGGCCATGCGTAATGGCCACGCCCACTGCCACACCTGGCCACGCCCACTCACCACACCCAACCCATTTGGCCACGCCTACTGACCACACCCACTGACCACACCCAACACACCTGGCCACGCCCACTCACCACACCCATTGACCACACCCAACACATCTGGCCACGCCTGCTGACCACACCCACTGGCCACGCCCACCACCACACCTGGCCACGCCCATTGAGTGCATGACCACGCCCACTGGCAACCTAAAGACCGAGCCTGGCCACGCCCACCTCCGCACCTGGCCACGCCCACTGATCCCACCCTCTGGCCACGCCCCCCTGGCCACGCCCACTGACCTCCCCTGTCCCACAGGTGACCTCGGCCGGGCGGGCGGGCCCAGGGGGGCGGGGCCTTTGATGACGTCATTGGGGATCCTGCTGCCCATTGGTACGGCCTGGAGGGGGCGGGGCCAAAATTTGGGGGGG